CCCCTTCTGAAATATAGAGAGAAAATACAAAGATACGGAAAGAAGACACAAAGGACATAGATGATCAACCCAGAAATTTCTTCTGATGAAGACTGTTGGTGGACCTCCCAAATCTATTCACCTATTTCATTTGGGAGGGGTGGAAAGAGGGTACGGAATACTTAAGGAACCCACCATTTCCCAGCCCCCTTTGGAGCTATGTATAGCCATTGCTAATTAAAATTGGCCAGAAATTGTATGGGATATGATGGGGTCTAGACCTCAACAGAGAAAGTAGGCGAGCCTTCGCTTCATTCTGCCCTCCCCCACAAATTTTCCCCAATTGCAGCCTACGGGAATTCTGCTTTGATGATTGTAGACTACACAAAGCCCCAGTTTAGTCTTGCCACTGTCTGTTTGTAGCAGATACTTATTTAAAATTCAATTTCAGATAAACAATAATTTTTTTAAGTATAAATATGTCCTGGATATTGCACCCTTATGAGTGACAAAGTGATTAGATAGAAGAACTGAGCTCTTGTATTTCACACGTAGCAACACTACCTCATTCACTGGGATACGTACCTCCCAATTGCCAATGAGAGACAGACACGTGGTATACTAAGCTACTGCTTCATTGCAATTCTCTTATTGCCTAACCCTTTATCTTAACTAATACTGAGAAGTGAGTTTTGGGGGCTGGAGAGTTTCTGGGGCAGCAGGTAAGGTACTTGCCTTGCACGTGGCTAACCTGGGTACAATTTTCAGGACCCCATTTGGACCCTGAGCCTGCCAGAAGTTATTCCTGAGCTCAGAATCAGATGTAAGCCCTAAGCACCATGAGCTTAGCCCCCAAATTGAAGAATAAACTAAGGAGAGAGAGAACAAAAGGGATTGCCCTGCCACAGAGGCAGGGTGAGATGGGGGTGATGGGGGTGGGAGGGATATTATCCGTGGTGGTGGAAAATGGGCACTGGTGGAGGGATGGGTATTTGATCATTGTATAATCGAAACCCAAGCACAAAAAATTGTAAATCTACAACTTTACCTCATGGTGTTTCACTAATTAAAAAAAAAAAGAGAAGAATAAAGGGGCCGGAGTAGGACTGGAGCTATAGCACAGTGGCGAGAGCATTTGCCTTGCATGCAGCTGACCTGGGTTCGATCCCCAGCATCCCATATGTCCCCCCAAGGTATCCAGGAGTGATTCCTGAGTGCTGAGCCAGGAGTTACCCCTGAGCACTGCTGGGTGTCCCCCTCCACTGACCAAAAAAGGGGAGGCTACTATGGAGATGGTACAGCTAGTACAGCGGGTGAGGTAAACTTGCCTTGCCCGCACCCAATCTGGGTTCAATCTCCAGCATTTCATACGGTCCCCTAAGCACTGCCAGGCCTGAATGCAGAGTTGGGAGTAATCCCAAGTATCATTGGTATACTGATACCCGACCCCCACCCCTCGCCCAAGAAAAATCCCAAAGCAAAAAAAAAAAAAGAAAAAAAAGCGTTCAATAGCATATTTAACAAACTACAAAAAAAAAATGGCAAACTCAAAGAAGATAGATCATTTGAAATCTTTTTTGCTTTTTGGGTCACACCCGGCGATGCACAGGGGTTACTCCTGGCTCTGCACTCAGGAATTACTCCTGGCGGTGCTCAGGTGACCATATGGAATGCTGGGAATCGAACCCGGGTCAGCCGCGTGCAAGGCAGGCGCCCTACCCGCTGTGCTATCTTTCCAGCCCCGATCATTTGATATTTTTGAGTTAGATTAAATAAAACAAAAGACAGGACCTGATGGATGAGTGGGGAACACACCTGCCTTGGAAGATGATGTCCTGAGTTCAGTCACTGGTGCTGCCCATTTTAGTTGCACGCAGTCTCTTGGCTCCAAGATCCGGGAACTCCAGCGCTGCCACAGAATGTGATCTTTAAGCAAAAGCAGGTATGTATGTGAGCACTGAAACTAAAGCATGAGCTGAAGTGATCACCCCTACAGAAGGATGTGCATGGCCCTTAGTGGGATTCACAGCAAGCAGGTGTGTGGGTAACACAGTGACCCCTGGTGAGCACCACAACCAGAATCCCAACAAGTGTATGTGTGAGCAACACAACTTGAAGTATGTACCCCTCAGGGAGCTCTATTGGTGTATATGAATATAAATTGATAAACTTCCCAGTCAAAAGGTAGAGCAGGCGTCTTTCCACTCTGGAGAAGTACGTGTTCTTTGTTGAGCATGTGTTGCGCTCTGTCCCTCTGTTTCTCTCTCTGTCTCTGTCTGTCCCACTCTCTGTCTGTCTGTCTGTCTGTCTGTCTGTCTGTCTTTCTCACTCTCCCCTTATTTCCTAAACAAACTTGTTTTGCCTTAACAACAAAAAAGACAGGATTAGAGACTGAGTGATAGTACAGTGGATAGGGCAAACCCTGCCCCCCCTCCCCATTAACCCCCCCCCCCCAAACAAAAAGCAAAGACCAAAAAAAGGAAATGGAAAGAGATTCCAGGTAAGAGCATTGACTAGTTTTTTGGCCATCTGGAGGTGCTTAAGGGCTGGCTACTCAGAGGACCATGCAGTGGAGGAACAGAACCCAGGGGTAGGTCTCCTGCATACAAGCACCTGTTGAGCCCCCGAGGTATTTCTCCAGTCCATATTTATATTGAGCAAAGTTAGAACAAGCCCAAAGGGGCTGCAAATGGAGCTCTGTGGCAGAGCACTTGCCTTGTATGTGTGAGGTCCTGGGTTCAGTCCCTGGCACTATAAAAAATAGATGGGTCAGAGAGAGAGTACGGCACCCAAGCTGGGTTGGACGTTTGTTTCACATGCTGCCGACCTGGGCTCGCTGATCCCTGGCACCACATATGGTTCCCTTGAGCACTTCCAGGAGTGATACCTGAGCACAGAGCCAGAAGTTATCCCTGAGCATTGCCAGGTGTGGCCCCAAACAAACAACAGAAAGAACAGAACAAAACCCAACTGTTCAAAGGCCCAGAGAGGGGCTGGAGCAATAGCACAGCGGGTAGGGCGTCTGCCTTGCATGCGGCCGACCCGGGTTCCATTCCCAGCATCCCATATGTTCCCTGAGCGCCGCCAGGAGTAATTCCTGAGTGCAGAGCCAGGAGTAACCCCTGTGCATCGCCAGGTGTGACCCAAAAAGCAAAAACAAAAACAAAAAAAATGGCCAGAGAGTCCATGGGCTTGGGCACATTATTTGTGAAGAACAGGAGTCCTGAAATGATCCCTGACACTCTGATTCCCCAGCACTGTCAGAAGCAACCCCAAAGTGCTGAGTCAGGAGTAACTCCTGGGTACCACTGGGTGTGGCACAAAAACCAAAAGGAAAAAGAAATTTTCAGGGGCCAGAGCGATAGCACAGCAAGGTGGGTGTTTGCCTTGCACGAGGACAACCTGTTGGGTTTAAATCTTGGCATTGCATATGGTCAGCCATGCCCCTCCAGGAGTAATCTTTGAGTGCAGAACCAGCAGTAACCCCTGAGCATCTCTGGGTGTGACTCAGAAAAGAAAATAAATGTTCGAAGAGACTAAAACATTATATAATTATAAAGCAGTTGGTTCATTAGGAAGATGGATTATTATTATTACACATGCAGGCCAGGGTGTAGCTTAGTTATAGAGCATTTGCCTTTCGTGTCTGTGGCCCTGGGTTTGATCCCAACACCAGGAAAAGCAAACAAGTATGTATCAATCATTATAGCACACAAGTATGTAAGACAAACATTGTTAGAACCGAAGACAAAATTAATAACATATTAACAGGGGCTGGAGTGATAGAATAGCGAGTAGGGTGTTTGCCTTGCATAGGGTTGATTCGAATTTGATCCCACCATACCACATATCGTCCCCCAAGCCCACCAGGAGAGGTCCCCAAGCACAGAGCCAGGAGTAAGCCCTGAGCACAGCTGGGTGTGGTCCAGAAACCAAAAACCAAACCAAAACAAGAAATACATAATAGTAAAATGTTAGAACACCCCACTTTCAATAATGGACAAAGGAACTACTCTGAAGATCAGTAAGGAAACAGAAGGCCTAATGTGGGCAATCCAATAAAGCAAATGAACCAGATAAAATACACTCACAACATTCTACCCAACATCAGCAGCATGTATGTTCTCAAGTGCACATGGAGCATTTCCTGTGCACTTATAAAATTGTGTTTATATAAAACATACAAAATTATCTGGGGTTTTGCTTGTTTCGAGGTCATACCCAGCAATGCTCAGGGTTACTCCTGGCTCTGTGTTCAGGAATTACTCCTGGCAATGCTCAGGGGGGTATTCGGGATGCCGGAGATCAAATCCAGGTTGGTCCCGTGCAAGAAAAACTCCCTGCCCTGTACTATCAGTCCGGTTCCTATATTTTGTATGTGTAATTCACTTCAACATAGAAGAGTACATTTGTCGGTTGGACTTTTTAAATGTTTAGCGAGGAATCAGGATTTCCCCAGGAGGAGCACTGGAGGCTCTCAGGAGTTTAGTGCTCCCATTGATCTAGGGGCTTGTGTTTGACTCAGTCATCTGAAACAAGCTTTTTCAGCCGCCGAGTCTTCCAGCTCGACTCTTAACTTAGTAAAGCTCCACTTCTCTGATACATGAATCTGGTGGCCAGGAATTTTGAACTTGATCTGGCATCATTGAGCTTCAGTCACGTGCTCCTTGCTCTGAAGCTTGATGCAGGTGGACGTGATCACTTGGCTATTGTGAACACTTTACTGTGCCCTGGAGATTTCCAAAGGCACCCTGGGGCTGGAGCGATAGCACAGCGGGTAGGGCGTTTGCCTTGCACGCAGCCAACATGGCCGACACAGGTTCGATTCCCGGCATCCCATATGGTCCCCCGAGCACCGCCACGAGTAATTCCTGAGTGCATGAGCTAGGAGTAACCCCTGAGCATCGCCAGGTGTGATCCAAAAAGAAAAAAACAACAAAGGTACCCTGAGTAACTTTTGGAGCCCGAGGTTGGGGCCAGCATGATGACAGATACAGATATTGTGGATGTCCGCCACAAAGGGCTGTGTCCAAGATCCCTTATGGTAATCTTTACAAAGAACAGGCCACAGTCACTGCCAGGGAGGCTGCCGTCCGCAGCCACTGTGCAGAGTCCCAGAGGGACCACAGGATAGTTGGCTTAATTAGCTGCAGACCAATTGAACTTTTTGACTTGTTTTGTTTTGGGGGGCCACATCTGTTGGTGCTCAGGGCTTACTCATGGCTCTGTGCTCCAAAAATCACTTCCAGTGGGGCTCAGGGGACCATATGCTGTACCCATATTGAACCTGGGTCGACACATGCCAGGCAAGCCCCCTAACCACTGTACTATCACTTTGGCCCCTGTCATGTGTTTCTAAGCACATGTAACATTAGTTTCATGTACACAACATAATGATTTGATATATATATGTAAATGATCATCACAATGCCTATTTCATATCCATCGCTATAGTTATGATTTCTGTTTGTTTGGGGGCCACACACAGTGGTGCTCAGGGTTTACTCCTGGCTCTGTACTCAGGATTTAGACCTGGAAGTGCTTGGGAGACCATATGGGATGTTGGGGATTGGACCCTTGTGGACTCAGGCAGGTAAGTGCCCTACCTGCTGTAGTATCACTCCGACCCCTCACTCCCCAGGTCTTGGCCTATGTTTGAACTACATTTTTCACATGATTTCCAGAGGAGGCATCGAAACAGAATTCTAAGTTTACTTCAGACAGGTTGTTACATCATGGTACAGTCTGATTTTATTTTTTTTCGAATGTTTATTGGCATATATAATATATATGTTCACAGCGTGACCTCCCCAACACCTCTGGCTTCCCTTCCCATTGTTCTTGTGTTGTTTGCCAGGACTGCTACATCCGTCTGTTTTGCTCACACTGTGACTGCAAGTTCTCGTACTTTTGGTTGTGTTTGTACACCTGCTCCCTCTCCTGGGTGTGATGCTCAAACATTTTCACAACTAAGGTTGTGTATTTTAGTTGTGGTACTCGAACACAAATGGCTGTGGTGTGCTGGAGATTGCACACTCTCTTCTGGCTGGGATGGGTAGGGTGTGTATGTGTGTGTGTGAGGGAGGGAGGGAGGGAGGGAGGGAGGGAAAGTGATTTCTGGAGCACAGAGCCATGAGTAAGTCCTGAGCACCAAATAGCAACTGCCAGGCCACACTCAGCATGTGTGGATACCAGGGCTAGAGAACAAAGCTTCATGCTTGCAAGATGGGTGTTTTTGCCACTGAGCCATCCCTGGGGCTGTCTGTATGAACTTTTTTTTTTTTTTTTTGCTTTTTGGGTCACACCCGGCGATGCACAGGGGTTACTCCTGGCTCTGCACTCAGGAGTTACTCCTGGCGGTGCTCAGGGGACCATATGGGATGCTGGGAATTGAACCCTGGTCGGCCGCGTGCAAGGCAAACGCCCTACCCGCTGTGCTATCTCTCCAGCCCGTTTGTATGAACTTTTACCGAATTTTTTTTGTGGGGTGTACTGTAAATTGGTATCATTTTCTTGGATGGGAGCGTGTTGTGATCCCCACTTGGCTGGATCTTAAGTTGTTGGAGGTAAGGACCAGAATGCCAAGGTTCTATTTTTTTAATCTTTTTGGTTTTGGGGCCACACCTGGCCATACTCTGCACTCAAAGGGTCATTCTTGGCAGTGCCTGGGGGACGGAACATAGTATTGGGGATATCTTACCAGTGTAGCAATATGCAAGGCAAGTGCCTTAGCCCCCAGATTCTCTCTCTGGTCCAGGTAGTATGAGTCTTTCACAAAACAGTGAAATGGGGGGTGGGAGAAGGATTTAAGCTGTACAGAAATATGCTCAGACAGGTTTAGGAAGACCATGTGGAGGTCGGACATAGGATCACCAGATGGATTTGTCGTAATAAAACCAGTAAAGGGCTTTTTCCAAAATGATTCTTGCTAAACCCCTGAGAGGTGGAGGTTAAAACCAGCCTACTCTTAAATGTTTACCCAGCAGCCACTAGTTGGTAGCAGTGTTCCAGGGAACTGACTGCTGCTCTTCAGTTCGGGTCCTCGCTAGCAACTTCCCACTCCAACTCCTGGGGCTCAAAAGCAGTAAAACTTAGTGGGGAAAGAGGTGAAAACTGTGGAGCTTTTAAAAATTTTTTTTCTGGTGGGGGGTGGGGCACACTCAGGGGTGCTTAGAGCTCAGAGCACCAAATACAGTGTTGAGAACTAAACCTGGGTCTGGGGATGCAAAGGAAGTACCCTCCCTCCTATCTCTTGTGGCCTGTTGTTTTTTTAAAAATCCAGGGCTCTTTTTTTGGGGGGGGGAGGGAGGTTAGGTGACGGCAATGGTGCTCAGAGCTTACTCCTGACTGCACTCAGGGATCACTCCTGGTAGTGCTGGGGACCACATGGGGTGCTGGGGATCAAACCCAGGTCAGCTGTGTGCAAGGCAAACGTCTAGGTCTTTGAACACAAGGCACGCACCTGACCGCTCACCCACTCCCCAGCTCTCAGGGAAAATTTTAACTAAGGTTCATGTCTTTTATTTATTTTTTATTTTTTGGCATTGGGGGCTCACTCAGCAATACTGAGGGCAAGCATTGGCTCTGCGCTGAGGAGTCACACCTGGTGGTGCTTGAAGGACCGAACCTGATGCCAGGGATTGGGTTGACCTATTGCAAGGGCAAGCACCCTACCCAGTGTACTATCTCTCCAGCCCCTAGAGGTGCATCTTAAAAAGATCAACTTAAGTTGCAGTTGGAGAATGCAGGGAAAGTGCTGGAAGCAGTGAGGAGTTGCTGCAGGAGCCCAGGAGCAAAGCCCAGGACCTGCAGTTGGCCCTGCAATTGCAAAGGACACAGCTTTCTAGGAAACTTTAAGTTCCTGATGAGACACAGAATGCTTTCTCGCATATGTGGGATATGAAGAGACATAGAAAGAGCATGAGAACTGGTCTTTAGTAGGAAGCCTGCCACTGGGGTGGTGTGGGGATGGCGGGACAGGTCAGGGAAGGGAACATTAAGACAAGGGTGAAAGGAAAAAGTGCCTGCCATAGAGGTAGGCTGGGGGGAGAGTGAAACTGGGGACATTCTTAGAGGAAAGTTGACACTGGTGAAGGAATTGGTGTTGGAGCACTGTACAACTGAAACTTAACCATCATTAACTGTAATAATTCACAGTGATTCAATCCAAATCTTTTTTTTTTCTTTTTGGGTCACACCTGGTGATGCACAGGGGTTACTCTTGGCTCTGCACTCAGGAGTTACTCCTGGCGGTGCTCAGGGGACCATATGGGAATCGAACCCGGGTCGGCCGTGTGCAAGGCAAACGGCCCTACCCGCTGTGCTATCTCCAGCCCTCAATCCAAATCTTGATGGGATTTTGGGGCTACAGAGATAGTACAGCCCGTATCGGGCTTGCCTTGCACGCAAAAGACCTAGATTCAATCCCAGACACCCCTTGTAGTTCCCCAAGCCTCACCCGGCCGTGGTCCCTGCTGAGTAGAGCCAGAAATAGACCCTGAGTGTGGTCCAAAAAAGAACCAAAATAGAAGAAATAGAATTTTGACAGAAAAAAAGGGAATGAGTGTATTGGTGGGGGAAGTGGGGTGGTGACAAAGCGGGTGCTGCTGAGGGCTTGCTCCTGGCTCCGTGCTCAGAGATTACTCCTGGCAGGGCTCGAGGGGTGGGGCTCAAACCCCAGGTCGGCTGCCTTACCCGCTGTACTTAAGAGTAGAGTAACTTCGGGGCTGGAGAGATGGCACGGCGGGTAGGGCGTTTGCCTTGCACGCGGCCGACCCGGGTTCGATTCCCAGCATCCCGTATGGTCCCCTGAGCACCGCCAGGGGTAACTCCTGAGTGCAGAGCCAGGAGGAACCCCTGTGCTGTGCATCGCCAGGTGTGACCCAAAAAGAAAAAAAAAAAGTAGAGTAGAGTAACTTCTCTGGCCCTGAGTGTGTAACTTCTAATCCCATTCAATGAGCAATCCTGACCAGTTCACAGCCACGGGGAGGCAGGGGAAGGACTAAGCAGAGGCGTCCCCGATTTGGAGGAGGGGCAGTCACCTCCCGCACGATGCAGGGGGCGTACGGATGATGCTCAAAAAGGACTGGACGCTGCGGGTCCGGCGGCGGGGCCTGCAGTGGACCCGCTCCAGGGAGGCAAGAGCAGAGACGCGCGAACCGGAGTTCAGATCAAAGCATCTCCCGAAACTCTCGCCGGGCGCAGCCGCCCAGTGACACGTCGCCCAGGGGCGCGGCACGTCTTCCCGAGGCGCCACTGGCCCAGGACCACGAGCGCGGAGGGGGCGGCCACCGCCCCTCCTTCCGCTCCCGCTCCGGGGACCGGCGCCCACATTGTCTCCGCGAGCCAGTGCCCGCGCCGCGGCCTGCAGCGGACGGCTCCCGATTGGAGGCCCGGGCCGTCCGTCACCAGCCAGCGGCGCGCCTGATTGGCCGTGGCTCCGCCTCCCCGGCGGTGGGATAAAGGAGGCGGACCAATCGCTCGGGCGTGCGGCCGCCCAGCCGGGCCGGGCGCGGCGCGGGGCATGACGGACGCTCGCCCCGGCCCGCAGCTCCAGCCGCGGCCCCACCGCGCTCCTTAGGGAAAAAAAGGTGCCCGGGGACCGGAAGCCGCGCGCGTCCCGGAGCATTGTGGGCCAGGGCTGGGCGGGGCCGAGCCGAGCCGAGCCCGGCGCCTGCGCAGTGCCGCGGGGCGGCCCGAGCGGGCGGGCTGGGGCTTTTGCGCCCTCGACTCTCCTTCCCGCTGGTGGGAGGGCGGCCGGAGGACTTGGGGTGGGGTGGGCGAGGGTGTGCGCAGCGCTGTTAGCGCTGACTCCCCGCTCTCAGCTCGGGAATCACCCCAGGCGGGGCTCCAGGGGGCCCAGTGCAGTGGCACGGATCGAACCGGGGGAGCCTCTTGCAAGAACCTTAACCCTTGTGCTAGCTCCCCGGCCCGCTAGGGAGCTCGAGGGCACCCCTGGGAACCGGGCCCCGTTGCACTCTCCGCCGTACCGCCCCCGCGCACCCCACTTCTTCCCATGAGAGCTTGCATTTTTTTTTTTTTTTTTTTTGCTTTTTGGCTCACACGCGGCGATGCACAGGGGTTATTCCTGGCTCATGCATTCAGGAATTACTCCTGGGCGGGGGACCATATGGGATGCTGGGAATCGAACCCGGGTCGGCTGCGTGCAAGGCAAATACCCTACCCGCTGTGCTATTGCTCCAGCCCCAGAGCTTGCACATTTCTCCGATCCCTTTCACCCTCTCAGTTGACTCCCAAGTCAACTCGCCCAAGCTCAGGCCGCGCCGCTATTTTCTGAATCTCAGCGCCCCCACTTGTGAGACGGCAGTTAAGGTTTCATTTTACCAGCCCTGCAAGAGGACGGCTAGGACGCTTGTCTTGCACGTCCAATGCCTGGCACCAGTATGGTCCCCCTAGCTTAGCCAAGGAGTGATCCTGAAGAGAGCCAGGGTTAAGTCCTGGGCATAACGGGGGCTGTGCCCCCCAAACTTAATGCACATAGGTATTTCCTTTGCTAAGTACTTGTTCTCTCCTAGTTTAACACCTTTTGACAAGGTTTAGTTTGCCAGCTGGAAGTCACAAAGGCTTCAACAGGCAGCCCCCTCCCCCATTTTTATCAGCTGAGTCCCTCACACATCCTTGGTGCTTTATTTCACCATGTTCTTAAGTGTCCTTGGCACGCCAAGTTCTGTCTTTCACACAAAAGACTCAAAGTGAACCAAATCCGCTTTTTGTGTGTGTGAGACGGAGCCTGGTTGAGCGGCGTTAGGAAGGTAGATTGACAGAAAAGAATGATCTACACTTTATATTCACAGCTGCAGGATAGAAGCTTAGGAGTCTGTAGCACATAAACTGGAACCAGAGGAGTGGGGTGGTTTTCAAGAGAATAAATGGGAGAACGCACAGGACACTTCATTGGGCTCATGGAGTGGATGTGGTTTATTTTGCTTTTACGTGGGTGGGCTGGGAGATGGGGGTCGGGATTGGGGAGTATCATTGTTAAAAGCAAGGACTTGGGGCTGGAGAGACAGTACAGGGGTTAAGGCACTTGCCTTGCATGCAGCAGACCCTGGTTGGATCCCTTGCATCACATATGGTCTGCCAAGCACTGCCTGGAATGAGTCTTGGGCAGTCAGAAATATCCCCTAAGCACCTCTAAGGTATGGGTGCCCTCCCCACCCAAAAACAAAACTCTTAAAAACAAGGGATTTTAGCATATTTGCTGTGAGACTAGCTTTGAGCCTGTCCAAGGCATAGACGGGTCTCACAAAACAATGCGTCTTCAGTGCTGGAGCAATAGTATAGCGGGTAGGGCATTTGCCTTACACGCAGCTGACCCAGGTTCAATCTCTGGGCATCCCATATGGTCCCCTGAGCACTGTCAGGTATGGCCCAAAAGAGCAAGTCAAAAGCCAACAAAAACAAAAGCACCCCCCTCCCCCCCCGCCCCAAGAAAAACCCCAACAACAACAACAACAAAAAAACCTCAAAACATGCATATTCAGGCTTAAGCATCAAAAGAACATCATGTTGTTTGAACACTGATGGTCGTATATGATGGAAAAACAGGATGCTTTGATGGCCAAGATACTCAGATTTTCTCCTGGCAGTGGAGAGGAGGGCCAGAAGGATCTTTTGAGTCATAGGCTGTGGATCAGGTGCCTGGGACTGGAGCGCAAATCAAGAAGTGTCAATGCACCACAACAGGCGTCTCTTTCGCACTTCCAGAGTCTCCTCCCCTCAACCCACAAGCACTGCAAAACCACGTTTCTAAAAACCAGCCATTTACATGTTTGGGTGAGTGACAAGAGGGAGTAAAGTGATGTATTTACAAGTTGGTCTGTCCAGATATAGTATAACTTAGTGTTTGTATCTGCATGTAATATTGACAACCAAAAATATATATATATAAATATCTTCCATCTATACACGGCAGGCAGGAGTGTCTGCATCTTCTTGAGCAGTGAGCTCTCAGCCTCCCATGGCCCACCTTTCACGGTGATCGTCTGGCCCTCAGTGCAAAGGAGACTAGAACCTGTCAGCCCAGCCTGACCCTTCCCCTCTCCTCCCTGCACTCCAGTGCTCCCAACTGGTCTCAGGCAAGGAAAGATTAATTTGAGTGGCTGGGCAGGCAGAGCGGGGGATGGGTGAATCCTGACATTGCCCGACTCCTAGGAGGGGATGCAGACCCGAGAAGGGAGTGGCCGCAGCTACCTCGGAGAAGGTGAAGGCTATGAGGGCAGCAGCCTCATAGTTTGGAGTTCGATTAGTGTGTCCTTGGTCACAGGTCCAGCCCTATAAGATTAGCAGGAGGCAAGTGTCTAGGCAGGGCTTGGGCTCCACCCTTAGGTACTGAGCCACTCAGGGTGAAGCCAGAGGTGTGGGTACAGGAAACTCTGGCTGATAAAAAAATAATAATAAAATCAGTAATAAAAAAAATTATAAAACCTGTTGCTTGTCTAAATAAGATATGTGCAACAGTCTTGCTTTTGTTAAAATCCTGGAGCTGTTAAAGTCCCGAATATTCCTCTGGGAATCATTGCTGGCTGAGAGGAGCCCCAGGCCCGGCTCCGCTGAGATCAGTCTAGCTTGGAAGTCTCCTCGGCTGCCTGTGCTCCAAGGAGGCTACGGGGGGCAGGCCGGGGCTGCTGGTGGGGGCAGCTCACACTTGGGAATCGGCCCCCAGGGGGTGGAACAGCTCCTCCGGTGTCTTGTCGCTTGGGTTGGCTCCACCCTGCCGGAAGCCGGAAGCAATCTCGTCGAAGGTCCGGCCTTTAGTCTCAGGAACTTTGAAGTAGGTGAAGATGAAGAACAGAACCAGGAGCACGGTGAAGATGATGAAGACGTATGGACCACAAAGTTGCTGCAAGACACAAAGGAGCACTTGTTTCAAGGCCTGACAGTCTCTCTTGGATGCAGGAACTTAGATGAGGCATTTAACCCCTGGGACTTTGAGCTGAAAAAGGGAACGACCTACCTACAATCCGGTGTTGCCGGGAAGACCGTAAGGTTCCCTCTGCCTAGAGCTGGGGAATCAGTGTTCTGGGTGCCCACTTCTTTATTTTTTTCTTTTTGGGTCACACCCGATGATGCTCAGGGCTGTTAGCCCTGGCTCTGCACTCAAATTTCTCCTGGTGGTGCTTGTCCCCACTTACTTATATTTGGTTTTGGGGTCACACCTGGCAGTGCTCGGGGCTTATTCCTGCTTCTTCCCTTAGGGATCACTCCTGGTATTGCTGGGGGAGATCATGTGGGGTGCCGAGAATCAAACCTGGGCCAACCATGTGCCAGGCAAGCACCCTGCCCGCTGTATTATGGCTCTGCCCTCACCCAGAGGTCCTCACTTCAACAGCAAAATAGGAGAGATCCAAAGCTAAGGAGGGAACCCTGGAGCTGAGGTCGGGGAACTGAGTCTCGGTTTCTTCCTGGGCACAGTTCCGTGGAGTGCAGCCGTGAGAGCAAACCGCACAGCACAAGACGGTCCTGCACGCAGATGAGAAATGCAGCGTGTGGAGTGGGGCCTGTCCTCACCTCGACATACTGGAAGCACATGCCCACGATGAAATTTGAGGTCCAGTTGGAGAAGCCGGCCACAGCAATGGCAGCTGGGCGAGGGCCCTGGCTGAAGAGCTCGGCCACGATGAACCACGGGATGGGGCCAGGACCCACTTCAAAGAAGGCCACGAAGCCAAAGATGGCCACGATGCTCACATAGGACATCCAGGGCAACTGCTCCTGTTGAGGAGAGGTCAGGGGATGGTGAGGTGGGGCTGCGATGGGTCCTCAAAAGGTAGCAGAAACCAGAGGTAGCCGTGGGCAGCGCTGAGAGCTCTGGCTGGGAGGGAACAGGCCTCGCTCTTGGAGCTCTTGGAACTTGGCTCCGGATTTACCCGGAGACCGAGGGAGCTTGCCTTGGGGCTTGTTTCTTCATCTGAAACGACTTAAAGCGGCAGTGAGCTGGAGGCCACCCTCTGGGAATGGTCATGTGTGTGCACGTGGGTGGTGCTCGGAGAGGTCCCTGTGGTCCCCTGGTTCTGGCTGCCGCACAGGCTGCCTGCTGCCTGGCAGGGAAGCCGAGAAGGAACATTCCTGGGGGTGGGTGTTAGCAGGGCTGTCACAGGGGCCCAGCTCAGGGCCAGCACAGAACAGGCCCCAGGCATGTGCTTCTATATATGTAATCCTCCTCGAGAAAGCCACGTAGAAAACGTTAGGGCTTCCGTTTACAGATCCAGGTCACCTGCTCGCTTTTTGCTGGACCTCTTGGCAACCCGCAGACTCGCTGTGCCTGGGATCAGCTGTAAAGTTAGCACACTGCCGCGTTTTTTAGGAGTGGGCAGGAGGAGTGGGTGTGTGTCCTATGTCAAGCCTGGGCCAGGGGGCCAAGAAAGGAAAGAGCGGCCCCCAGCTGGAGCTGGCAAAGGTCCTCTTGCCCTGCCCCAACTTCCCGTGTGCAGCGACTCACCAGCAGAGCCAGCGCGATGGTCATGAGCACAGCACAGCCCGCCATGCCAGCCAGGCCGATGAGGTGCAGGGTCCGCCGGCCGGCCCGTTCCACTACAAACAGCTGTGGGTGGGCAGAGAGCGCAGTCAGTGGCCTTCCGTTCCACTCCCCCGTCGCCCCACCGCACAGAGCTTGGGGCAGATGCCACACTCAGAGTGAGGGGGAGAGGGCCGGCCCCCCAAGCCTGACAGCTGAGCATCCCGGCTGTGACCTTGGGGGTGGGGAGCCAGTGCCCCTCCCCGGCCTCAGCCTCATCAGCTGTTTGGGGCCGAGCCATGAACTTGACATGCTGAGCCTGAAATGAGCTCACGCTCATGGGGAAGGCGACCAGGGTGGCTGGTGTCAGGTCACAAGGTCCCGAGCCGTGGGCGGGGACACACACTCACCGACACGACGGTGAAGGCGGTGTTGACCACGCCGGAGCCGATGGTGGCATACACCGGCTGCTCCACTCCTGCCTTCTCGAAGATGCTTGTGGAGTAATAGAACACCTGGGGGGGCAGAGGCACAGTTGGGGTCAGGCGAGACACGGGCACTTCCCGAGCTTCTGTGCCCAGGCGTGCGGGCAGGTTGCTCCCCTGGCAGGGAGGAGCTTCAAGTTGGGGACCAGAGCATGCTCTTGACCCCAGGGCTCCGTGGCGGGGTGGTGTGTATGTGGCGAGGGGGGGGTGCAGGAGGGGACACGTACCGCGTTGATACCGGACAGCTGTTGGGACAGCTGCAGCACCATGGCGATGAGGATGGGCTGGCGGTAGGCGGCCGAGCGGAACAGCTCTAGGATGGTGACCTTCTTCTCCCGCATCATCTGCCGACTCTCCTCCTTCATCTCCTGCAGGTCCTGGGTGACGTCCGCCGTCCCGCGCAGCTTCTTCAGCACTGGCAGGGGCGAGGGGGGGTGGGGGGGGGCGGCTCAGAGGGCGGGAGGAAGCCCGGGGCAGCGGGGGCGGGGAGGAGGGCAGGGCCCCAGCATACCGCTCTTGGCGCGGTTCTCCTCGTTGCGGTTGATGAGCAGGAAGCGGGGGCTCTCGGGGCAGAAGGGCAGCAGGATGCACTGCAGCAGGGCCGGGATGAAGATGACGCTGAGCAGCAGCGGCCACAGTTCCTCGTTGCCCATGATGGAGTCCAGCCCGAACACCTGCAGAGGGCGGAGGGAGGGAGGGAGGGAGGGAGGGGGCGAGTGACCACCAGGCCTCCTCGACCCACCTGGGACTTGCTGGGGGCCGCGCCCTGGGCCGGTGGCTCCCGAGTTTCTGCTGGGGCTGGGAGCGTCGTGCTCCCTGCCCCGCTACTCACCTGGGCAATGAGGATGCCGACGACAATGCCCAGCTGGTGCAGGGTGCCCAGGGCCCCTCGGAGGGCCGTGGGGGACACCTCCCCCACATACATGGGCACAAAGCCCGTCGTGAGGCCACAGTACACGCCGATGATGAAGCGGCCCAGGATCAGCATCTCAAAGGACTTGCCCAGCTTGGAGAAGCCCATAAGCACCGCGGATATGAAGGCCAGCAAGTTCATCATCAGCATGGAGTTTCGTCTGGGGGAGGGGGGTCAGAGGTCAGGCAGGCCTCAGGGGATGACCCCCGGGGTTGGGTCCAAGGTCCTGACCGCCGGGGGACAGGGACGGAGACGGGCAAGAAGAGCCCCCTCCCACCCCACCACGCCCCTCTTCTGCTCACCGGCCAAAGCGGTTGACAAAGAGGCCCACAGAGAAAGAGCCGATCATGCCGCCGACAGAGAAGATGGCCACGGACAGCGACCAGAGCGTGGTGAGCGTGGTGGGCGAGATGCTCTCCTCGTAGCGGTGGATCCATGTCTGGTTGTAGAACTCCTCGATCACCTGTGTGGGGAGAAGCCGTGAGTCGGGGTGCGCGGGCAGACCCCAACCCCAGGGGCGAGAAGGCCGACTGAGCCCAGGCTGGCTGGCAGAGGGGAACAGGCCGAGTCCCCCCACCCATCCTGTAGCCTGTGTGCCGGGGGAGAAAGAAAGGGCCTCTCCCACCCCCAACGCGGCCGCAGATGGCCCCTGCCGGTGGTGGTGGGGGACAGGCAGAGCGGACAGGCCCAGGGAAGTTCTCTTCCTTTTAGCCCTTTTCTCCTCCAGGGCCCCTGCTCCTGCCAGCATCAACACCCCATGTCCACACCAGGGAGGAAATGCAGCTGGACAGACAGGCCCTGCCACTGCAGAAGCCAGCGAGGACGGACAGGCTCCCTGACTGCACTCGGCGCCTGGGGGGGGCCCGGACCCACGGGCACTCACAAAGCTACTTCCTGTCCCCCAGGCCCCGCTCCCCGTGGAGGGTCCAAGACTGCCTCCCTTTTCCCAGGGGCCCAGCAGGGAGGCGCAGGGAGGAGGGGAGGACAAGGAAGTAGTTCCAGGAACTGGAAACACCTGTCCCACTAGCCCTGCCCCCTGCGGCCGGCCTGGCCGCCTCCCAGGTATGTGGAAGGTGGGCAGCTGCGGCTGTGGTGAGGGCGCTCACCCTGCGCGCCTGTAAGCAGCTTCCTAGGTGCGCACACACGCACCTCGCCCTGCTACCCGAGCCCCTCTGTCCCCACAGCCCAGACTCAACTCCAAGGGCACCCGGCGCCTCCCTGCAGGCCTGCGGCTGCGGGTGGTTGGGGCCCTCCCAAGGCGCTAGGAGCGAAGGCTGTGGGTCCCCCAAGGGGAAACTGAGGCGCTGCACCCGCAGGAACGCCCAGTGGGCTGTGAGGCTTGGCACCACAGCTGCAATAAATAGCTCCTTGGCCTCTAGTCATACTTTTTCCCACCCTGCTCCCATCTGACCCTGGTCGGGAGCCCCTGGCACCCCAGATGGTTGCACAAAGGTTTCGGGTGGAGACAGGGGGAGGCAGCCGGAACATCCCCAAATGCTGGCTGCTGTCACTGTCAGATGTGGCTCCGGAACAAATTCCTTCATGGCTCCCCCTGCAGCCCCTGCAATCGCATGGGGTGCAGGAAAGCACTGGGCCCCTCGCAGAGGCCTGTCCTGGTGTCTGGCTCCGTCGCCTGGCCAATGCCCAGAGACCCTCCCCACCACACTCCAAACCTGCACCCCCTACTGCAAAGCGCAGCAGACCCCTGCCTGCCAGGATGCAGCCGGCCTCTTCGGCTCAGCTCCGGCGCCAGCCTTCGCTCCGGCCCCCTCTAGGTAGCCCACCAGAAGCCAGTTCGCAGCTGTCCAGGGGGCACTGTCCTCCCGGAGGGCAGAGGCCTGAGCAGGGCCCAGGGTGGCTCCAGGAGCCGCGCCGGCAGTGGGGGGAGTAGCCAGTGAAGGACCGGCCTGGGGCGCGCCTCCTGGCAGCCGGGCTCCAGCTAGGGGGCGGGGAGAAGGCTGGGCTGACCAGAACAAAAGTGCTTGTGTTCAAGGGATGAGCGCAAGCCCAGAGGAGGCTGGGCTGGGGACAGTGATGCTCCATTTATCAGGCTGCGAGAACGGGCAGTCCTGGGAAGGGACTCAGTCGCCCGCCACTGCAGACGGCGCTCCTCCCGTCCCTTACTCCTGCGGCAGGGCGTACTCCCCAGCCCTCACTTCTGTGTCCGGGGTGCTCCCCCAGCCCTCAATCCTGCACCTAGGGTGGGGTGCTCCTCCCGCCCCTCACTCCTGGGCCCGGGGTGCTCCTCCGTCCCTCTCACTCACTCTCGCCCAGAGCCAACAGACTCGTCTGGAAAGCGCTCCCCGGATGGTCCTGGCTGGCTTTGAAAGAGCCTCGCCCCGTCATTTTCGGGGTGTCCCCTCTCTCTGAGGGTCAGAGGTTCCGTATCACGACCCTTTCCAGCAGACGGACTCTGGCTGAACGGTGCGCGAAGAAGGAGAAGCCAGTCCGTGTGCCAGCAGAGCTGACCACCCCGGGGAGCTCAGTCGTGAGCTCAGTTGCGGAGCCGGGAATTCTATTCTGGGGGAGGTTTGTTTGTTGTTTGTTTTCCTCTTTGAAGAGGCCCAAACAGCTGACAAGTGCGCGGCACCCCCACCTCCCCAAGCTGTAGCAGGTGGCAGCTCACGTGAGAGGAACCAACCCCCCTCCAGGGCGAGCCCCTGGGCTCCAGCCCCCTCTGGCCCTCAGACCACTTCTGAGAGGTGATGACAGAAGGGCAAGCAGCTGGTCCCCTTCTCCGAACCCAGGAGTATGGTCCCCTCCCCCCCCCCGCCCCGTGAAGCTGTGCAGAGGGGCTCCTGCCTCTGCAGTGACCCCAGAAATGTCTGGGAAGAAGCAGCTACGTGCCTCTTACCCATCCCTGACCCAAGAGTGGGGGGCCGCGTCCTCTCCCCATAACCCCGGGGGGCTTCACAGCTGGCCCAGACTTACTCTCACAGGGGCAAGTTCGAGGGTGACCGCCTTCACCCTCCACCTACTGTGGCTGGACGCCCTGAGGAGAGACGGGCCTGCTGGCTCCTGTCCTCAGAGCGCCCCCAAGAGCAACCTGGTTCCCTGCATGGCCAGAGTGCTGAGGAGACTAGAAGTCGTCAGTGGGTCTCCCCCTCTTTCCGCCAGGCAGCTCCCCACTGGCCTCAGGCAAGCCCGTCCCCGCCCCCTGCCCCCCATCAGGGCTAGTGGGTTTGGCCTCGCCATCTGTCCTCCCGACCCACACAGCACCTGTCCTGGGGCTTACCTGGACCTGCTTCCCGACAACTCCCGCTGCCCCCCGCGTGCGAGGGAGTCACAGCTGAAATGCTCCCCAACAAGTTCTGGGTGCAGGGGCCAGGGCGGGAGGGACCTGGTCTGGGTGCAGGGAGTAAGACAGCCTGCGTGGGCACAGTCGCTGGGCACCCCTGCACCGGCGTGGGGAAGCTTTCCTCTCTTGCCACCTCTTGCTTGGCCGCTTTCCAGCGGAAAATGCTCCTTAGCCCAGCACTTCTGGGCACGAGGGAGGGGGGACGGGGGACGGGGGACGGGAGGACGGGGGACAGGGGATGGGGGGCAGCGCTCGCACCAGACTCCTGGGGAATCCCCCGCTCCTCCCCTCGGTAGTTCTCCCCTACCGAGAACTGTGGGTGACTGATGTGACTGACATGACTCGGGTCTGGCTGTCTGCAGAGGAAGTGGGCACGGCCTTTGTCTGGGCAGCGGCCTGGCACGTGGAGGGGGGCGTCTCTGAGAAGAGCGCAGGGCAGGTCTCCCCGGCGTGAGCTGGGTCTAGGGGGCTTTCAGTGGGCTCTGCAGGCAGCAGGACCCTACAGATCCGCAGTGGGTGGGTTTCAAGGTTTCTGGGGGAAGTGCTCGCCGTGCAGGCAGTGAGTTCCATCAGCAGGGAACATGCCAGGCACGGGAGTGGGCAAGACCGTTGGTAAACGCCTCGGTGGAAAATATCAGGATCCACACCAAACACTTTTGTTTCTGCTGCTTCACTTTCTCCCCACTGCCCCAGCCCTTTAAAAACAAGAGGTAGGGTGGGATGGGGGGTGGGAGGGAGACTGGGACCTGTGGTGGTAGAGAATGGGCACTGGTGGAGGGGTGGGTATTCGATCACTGTATAACTGAAACCCAAGCACAAAAATTTGTAAGTCTACAACTGTACCTCGTGGTGTTTCACTAGTAAAAATTTAAGGAAAAAAAATAATAATAATCAAGTCTAGGGGCTGGAGCGATAGCACAGCGGGTAGGGTGTTTGTCTTGCACGCGACTGACCCGGGTTCGATTCCCAGCATCCCATCCCATATGCTCCCCTGAGCACTGCCAGGACTCATTCCTGAGTGCATGAGCCAGGAGTAACCCCTGTGCATCACCGGGCGTGACCCAAAAAGAAAAAAAATTTAAAAAAATTTAAAAAACAGTAAAAACACAAAGTCTACTCATTCCCTCAGCTCATGAACCACATAGAAGGCCCCAGAAACAGGCTCGAGAGGGGCCTCCGCTTTTGGAAGCAAAGTCTGACTCTCCTGGAAAGCTGTGTCAGTGAGCTCACGCTGGTGTCAACATAGGTTACACATGGAAACCACACACTTCAAGTCACCCCCACACTCGGTCACATGGCCCCCTCTCGGGCTGATGGGCCTAGTTTAAAAACCTCAGGCAGGGGCCCAGAGTGGCAGTACAGAGGGCAGGGCGCTGGACTGCACGCGGCCCGCCAAGGTTTGATCCCCAGCGCCCTGTTGTAGTCTCCTGAGCCCGCCAGGAGTGACGCCGAGTGCAGAGCCAGGAATAAGCTCTAAGCACCACTGGGGATGGGCCCGAAAACCAAAAGGGGGCTGGGGGTGGTTGGAAACCTCTGTAGCTCACCCCTTCCTCTCCCCTACAGTCAATCTTGGAGATTCATCAGGAAGAGGAAGGGGCCAGTTCAGTCCCTCCGGCCTTGAGACCCCCACCCTCTCTCCTCCACTCGGCTGCAGGGCCGAGTCAGAGGCTCCATGCTGGGGTGGGGGGCCGTGGTGTCCCACATGCGTGGCCTTGGGGAAAGAGGCCCGGGCAGCAAATGGAGACAAGCTGGGTCCCGAGCCAGAGCAGAGGACAGACCAACCAGAAAGCACCGCCCCTCTCGGCTTATCTTCCCCAGACTCGGAGCCCCTCAGTGCCCCCAGACCCCTGAGGATAACGTGTCTCCTCCACCCACACCACACTGTAACCCCCTGCTGTCTGAGCACCCCACACCTTGGCCCTGTGATCTGGCTCCCCTGCTGGGGTACAGACTCCCGATCGGGTTTCTTGAGACGCGTCCCTCTGCCTCAGCAATTCTCAGGGGGAAGGTTTGGACCCCCTCATTCAGACCCTCGTGAGTAGAGGCATCCAGTAAGCAGGGGCTGGGGATGCCGCATATCCTACACGCAGAGGACAATCCCCCCAAGCCCCCAAAGCCCTTTCTGGCCCCAAAGGTAGAAGGTGTCGCGCAACCCGGCCGTGCGGTGTGAGCACCTTCTCCTGCCGGCTCCCTGCCCCCACCGGGCCCTGCGCACACCCTCCTGGGTTCTGCTGGACTCCTCAGTGTCCCTGGTGTCCAGGCCAGGAACTGGGGAGCAGCGGCAGCTGGCTTCAGAGCTGTGGCTGTGACAGGGTGTCAGGAGGAGGTTGTGCAACCTCGTGTGGGAAACTGTTGAGACGCCTGGACATGACTGAGCTTGAATCAGCTCGGCAGCTGGGGCAGAACGGAGCAGCCTGGCAGCGGGCGTAGGTGTGGAAGGAGGGTTCCCGGGCCATGTGACTGTCGTGTAACTGCCACTCCTCACTCCTTCCACAATGGCCAGACACGGAGACTGGAGCCAAGTTCTTCTACCATGGACGAGCCGTGTGCCCTGGGCTTATTTCTTAAACCTCTCTGGCCCCCAGTTCTGTCTTGGTCACATAGGGCTTACTCCTGGTGCTGTGCTCAGGGATGACTCCTCAAGGGATCATTTGTTGTGTTGGGAATCGAACCCGGGCCAGCCGCATACAAGGCAAGTGCCTTACCCCCGTACTATCTCCTAGTCTCGTAATAGTCGCAGTGCCTTCCTAAGGCCTCTTCTAAGAACTGAATGGATTCCTATTTGAGACCAAGGCTGGCACCCAGGAAATCAGCTGTCGGCTGTGAAGGTCTGCATGAAGACGGGCTGAGGGGAGGCGCAGACCCAGGACCACGCAGAGGACAGAAGCTGCCCAGAGGCCCAGACGACTCAGTCCGAGACGGGTCGGCTCCCCCAGGATTGTCCTGGACAGTTCTCAGGGACAGACTTGCCTCCTCTCCAAGCCCATTCCCATTTGTCTCACAGGAAGGCCTGGGGACACTCAGGCCCCTCGACCAGCCCACACCGCCTAGTTCCCGGACATGCCCAACACTGGCCCTGGGCCAGGCACTCAGGGTTCCCACATGGCCTTGCGTCAGCTCTGTTGGCGGCTCAGGACGCCTCGGCTGGGGGGTCGGGACGCCCCAGTTCATGTCTGCGCTCCCGGGGGTGGCACCAGCCTCCTCCGCCCTGGGGAGAGGGGCCTGACCCGGAACGCAGCCAGGAGGCTGTCGTCAGCACTGACCCCACCAGCACATTGTGGGAAGGGCAAGGGCGTGGGGACGGGCCTCCGGCAAGCCGGGCTCCAGGTGAACTCACTTTCCTTCCAGTAGCTCCTCCCGCCTGTGGGGTGATAATTTATCTTTGTAAACATTAAAGATAATATGAGATTAATTAACCACTTCCAGGAGGAAGCCCTTTGGGGCCGTTTCATGGAAGCGTCTAGTAATTAAAAGCTTTGCCTTTTTGTTTTGTTTTGTTTTGTTTGGGGGGATGCTCAGAGTCTCCTGTTGCCGGCGGTGCTCGCAGGACCATGCAGCGTACCCGAGATCAACTGCGAGAGGGTGTGGAGAGGGGCGAGGCCCTTCCAGCCATCTCCCCAGCACCCACATGTCCTGTGACGAAGAGCAACCAGACAAGCTCTGCGCAGCTTCCTGGCCGTGCGCCTCCGCTATGCGAGAGAGTGCCAGGCACGGCAGCTGGCGCCGCTGCAGTTTGGGCCGCTCCAAGCCGGCAGCATCTTTGCACAAGCTGTGCCCCTGCCTCCCCGCTAGGGGTGGGGGCGTCACTCTTCAAGGTCCGACACAGTGGCTCCAGCTCCCAGCTGCTCCCGCCCCGCCCATCACCCCTCTCTGCTTCCACGGCCCCTCAGTTAACGATGCTCCGGCTTTGCCAATGGGTCCCCCCGCCCCCGCCCTCGGTGCTTTGGGGCACAGACAGGGCCTGGCTCAGAGCGCACAGTCTGAGGCTCCTGTTGTGCTCACGGCTGCTGGCGCTGGTGGGCCCGGCAGAATTCTGTGCACGCTGCAGCAGTGCCTTGGGGGGCTTCGGGGTCTGCAGCTGGGCTGCTCCCAGCCCTGTGTGTGGTTCCTCTGGGTACCCCTCTCCCGGGGGTCTACTCTGGGCTAGGAAACTGTGTGGCTGGGAGGGGAGAGCGTCTGTGAAAGCCTGCATGGGCGCAGTGACCCCTGAAAGCTCTCCTGGGTCTGGGCCTGAGTCGCCCCCAATTCTGCCCACTCGGAGCCTTCGCTCCGTCCTGAGGTGGGGTGAGGAGGGGATCTGAGGGGGCTTCTTCTGGCCAGAGGCCCACCCTGCTCCCGCCGGGCCGTGCACAAGCTCAGCACCCGCCTTTCAGCAGGTTTTCACCTCCTGCCTATTTCTGCCTAGATGGGGAGCTCCGGGATGAGTCCATAACTGCAACCTACCCCCGACTCCAACCCTCCGGCCTGGCCAGAAGGCCTGGCCAGAAGCAAGCGTCGCTCCTTTGCGGCAATGCCACCCCACCCCGAGCGCCTCTTAGGCTGGAGTGCGCGCTCTGCATACAGGAGACTCGAGCTCGGGCCTCAGCACTTCATTTAGGTCTCCTGAGCACTGGGCGGTGGGGGGAGGAGGAGAGGGGAGCAGGGACACCCCCCCACTCCGGGGAACCAGCTAAAGATATCTGTTGTCCTCCCAGCCCCCATCGGCCCCCATCCAGTACCACTGGGTATGGCCCAAAATCCAAAAAAAGCAAAGAAAAAAGACCCCACCCCAGTTCGACACACAAGTCTTCCAGGCCTGCCCCCCTTCTCCAGACCAGAAGGGCTGGACTGCCTCTCCACTCCCCCTCGGCGGCCCTCGGGTGCTCATGCCCCCTCCCCTGGCCCTGCTGGTGTGAAGTGCTGGTCTCCTGGCTTGGGGGGGGCTCTCCTCCACCCAGGCCCCACTCCTGTCAGTGGGGATGTTCTCTGGGACTTGTCCCCGACCTCTTCTGAGCTTCCCTGGCCACTGGGCTACCAGTGACCCACTCCTCTCCTCCAACTGATTTCACCCCCACCTTACACACACACACCCCCAAAACAAACCCCAATGTCCAAGGGCGTCCAAGTGCTTCCGGTGCACACCCAGCTGAGTCATCAAACCTCAGTTCCTGCACGTGCCAGGGCCCGGCACACCTTCTCCAGGCCCCACCCCGACACCTGGGCTGGCATCTGGAAGCCCTTCTTATTTTTAATTCTGTTTTATTCCTCGGGTTTTGAGGTCACATCCAGAAGGGCTCAGGGCTTACTCCTGGCTCTGCACTCAGGAATCACTCCTGGCGGTGCTCAGGGGACCATAAGGGATGCCGGGGAACCAAACCCAGGTTGGCAGCGCACAAGGCAAGTCCCCCCCCCCCCCCACTATGGCTTCTCTTCCTCCTTTGTCTGGTGACAGCTCATGTCTCCTATCCTCAGGTCCCTCCCACAGTTGCCACACCCGCATCACTTTCTTAAAAATGCAAATCCGATCCTGTCCTCCAGGTCCTCTGCAGTGAGTCCCTGTGGTCCTCCTGCTCAAGCCCACACTGCCGCGCGCGTGTGCCCACAGTCTAGTGCCCGCAAACCCACTGTGTGCCAGGGGCTGGACTTCCCACAGGTGAGTTAGTCCTCGTGGCGGTGAGGGGGAACTTCCACGCTCTCGCTCTCTCTTCACAGCCATAAGAACTGTCTTTTTTTTTTTTTGCTTTTTGGGTCACACCTGGCGATGCACAGGGGTTACTCCTGGCTCTGCACTCAGGAACTACTCCTGGTTGTGCTCAGGGGACCCTATGGGATGCTGAGAATTGAACCCAGGTTGGCTACGTGCAAGGCAAACGCCCTACCCGCTGTGCTATCACACCAGCCCCTAGACTGTCCCGAAATGCTGCCCCCACCAGCACAGCTTGGCAAGGGCTGCTCAGAGCACTTAGCAAATGCAGGACTTGGGGCGTTTCCAGGCATGGGCCCACAGCGGCCATTTCATTCGAATTGGGAAAAGTCCCGTCACCTCCTCAGCGGTGGCTCATCATGACTCAGCAGGCCAAACCTTCCTGCTGACCTGATCCCTGGCTTCAGGCGTGGCCCTCATGGCCACCCACTCCTTATCTGGAGGCTGCCCAGCGCTGACTCCCGACCTTGGCCAGCCCTCCCTAACCAGCCCCTGCTCTTCCGGAGTCCGTCACTCACACTTTCTGGTCTCACCGGTCTGCACAACACTGATGGGCTGTCCACTCAACCCGTACACCCAGGAAGGGACGGACGGGTTCTTAACAGAAGAGGTGGCTGGCCTGGGGAGGCAGCCCGAGGTGGTGAAAACAGGGGAGGCTGGCCTCTGCCTGTCACTCCTGGTCTGGGCAACCCTGAGCCCGGAAGTGATCCCTTCGGCGGGGGGAAATGGCGAGTGAGCTAGCCTCAACCTCTTGAATGGAGGCTCAAAGCTGGCATCAGGCAGGGACAGTTTTCCACTCCCTGTCCCTCTCCTCCCCACCCTCCTCCCTCCTCCCCTCCTCCTCTTCCACTCTCCTCCCACTCCTTTCATCTCTGCACGTGAGGGCCTGGTCCCTCCCAGTCCTGATGTTCAGGTGAACAGGTGAGGACAGAGCTGGGCTGCAGGTGGGGAGCGGGAAGCAGGCTCCGGCCTGGATCTGGGCTTCCGGGCGGCCAGATGCCATATTGCCCTGACTGGCACCAGGCCGTGGCGGGAGGGAAGTTGGGGACGGGGGTCTGAGTGCAGATCCGCCCTGCTCTGGCGGCGAGGGGCACAGTCCCTGCCTGTGACCACACGTCCCACCTGTAGGGCAGGCCTGCACCCGCCGCCAGGGCAAGCACCATGAAAGCCCAGTGCCACTCCACCCACAAACTGCTCTGATTCTCACCCGTCTGTGCGGGGTGGGCTGGAGGCTGGCGGAGCCGACTGATAAAGACCCTGTGATGCCGGCACACTCCTCCCGCCCAGACTTCTGCTGTCCCTAGATACCAAAGCCAAAAGTCTTTGACCTATTCGGGGCCCCCAGAATGCCTGGGGAGGGGTGGGGGTACAGCTGGGGAGGTGATACCCATGACCAAACGCCCCAAAGAAAGGATGCGTGTGTGCGGGTGGCAAGGAAGAGAGCACTCACCTTCTGGGGGGCATTGATAACCCCGGTGTTGTAGCCAAACTGCAGGGAGCCAAGTACTGCCCCTCCCACGGCCAACAAGAGGCGGCCCGTCAGCTTCTGCAGAGAGAACACAACACAGTGCGGTTACTGGCCCGTCTACGTCCAGGTCCAGGTCACTACCGGACACGGGTAGCTGGCTCAGATTTCTTGCATGACTCCTGGCACCACACCAGTCATTCTCCCAGGAAACTTGGCGACTCCCTGACCTCAGAGGACCGGCCCCATAGATTTCTAAACCTGCGGCAGCCAAATTCACTCCCGGGTGTCGTGGGGGGTGGGGGGTCTCACCCTGCTGCCGGGTCTTAGCTAGAGGGGTCAGGCCATGCATTCTCAGGGGTCTTGTGTCCGTGCGTGGGAGGGCCCTGTCTGGGGAACTGGGGGACCCGGGAACCCAGTCCCCTCGGTGAGGGGGGGTGTGGGAAGTTAAGGGACGAGCAACCTAAATGGGAGCTGGCTCCCCTGGATCTGAGATCCAGCTCAGTGGGTTTAGGATTCCAGCACACCTGCCCCCTTGCTCTGTTGAGTTTGAGTGGGCCAAGGCAGTCATCTTCCGTGCTCCTCCCCGGACCCTTTATAGGTAGGTCTCTAAAAAGCGGCAGTTACATCTGGCAGCCCTGCGCATGTCCCCCATCCTCCCTTGGCCCCCGCCCCATTTATAGGGCCTGAAAGGTAGTTTTCGCTCTCCCGGGGGTCTGCAGACAGCTGGGCTACAGCCCCAGCACCCACCCCAGACAGACCACACGCCTCCTGAAGTTAACTGCACATGCAACATACCAGGCCGAAATGTGCTTTGGAAAAGTCCCTGGCATAAGGCAAGAGTCTGGGGCCAACATCTTTCCAGTGGGTCAAGTGCGGGGGGAGGGGGTTGGGAGAGGACCTGGGAAGCCAAGGGCTCAAAGGCAGCATGCAGGCAGGGAACAGGCACCCAAGCCCTGCAAGGGAGCAGGAAAGGACTCCGGTGGCTTTGAAAGTGGAGAAGCAGGGGCACAAGACACGAGGCAAGTCCTCCCTGGCTGAATGAAAGTGGGGACGCCAGAGAAACTGCAGATTCTCCTCCTGCAGCACACAGCCAGCTGTGACGGAAGGAGGGACACATAGATACCATGGCAGGCTGCATACGGGGCAGCTGTCAGTCACGCCTTGCCATGGGCTTGCTTCCCACACAAACCATGAGCGCGTGTGCACACGCGTGCGTGTGTGTGTTGGGCACACGTGCACCTAGAGAGTAAATCTGGGTTTTTTTCTCCGTGAGGATCACGAGCTCTCCCTGCCAGTGAGCTACAACCCACGTCTTCTCCTTCGGCAGAGAGCAGCAGCCCTCTGACAGGCTGCCTGGGGCCTGCCTGGTCAACCCCTGGACATCTGTGCTAGATGCTGGATTTTCTTCAAGGGGAAACTAGCGACATCAGGGCTCCGCCAAACCCTCTCCACAGCCTCAGACCGAGTGGGTGGTGAGCACCTGGAAGACCAGCTCTGATGGGCCCCCGCCAAGTCCTGGGCGACTGTGGGCAGGATTAAGTAAGAAGGTGTCACAAGGTTCTAACCAGTGACGCAGGAGGGCTGAACCCACCAAACAAGGAGGGCACTGTTGGGTGAGTCTCCTAGCAGCCTGGGCGTCCACAGTGCTGTTTAGAAAGGGACCCTTAACAGTGGCCACAATCCTTTCCTGATCTCCTGTTAGCACAGAAAACTAGAATGCAAGCCTCTGGCTTGATAAAAATATGGTACTGCTGCCTTATACCTAAGAAGGGGGCTCTTGGGCCAGAGAGATTCACAGGCTGGTGCTCGTCCTTTGTATGATACAGTCCTGTCCTGTTCTTCCTGACACCACTAAACCCCATCAGAAGTGACCCCAGAGCATGGAACCTGGAGTCAGCCCTGCACATCACTGGATGTGTCCCTCTGCCAAAAAAAAAAGAAAAAAAAAAAAGAAAGAAAAGGGGGCCAGAGTGATAGTACAGTGGGTAGGGGGTTTGCCTTGCACACAGCTGACCCGGGTTCGATTCCCAGCATCCCATATGATCCTCTGAGCACCTCCAGGAGTAATTCCTGAGTGCAGAGCCAGGAGTAACCCTGGAACATCACTGGGTGTGACCCAAAAAGCTAAAAAAAAAAAAAAAAAAAAGTAAAGAAAAGGTTCTTTATGTTGTGATTTGGAAAATCCCCTAAGTTATATAAAGTAAAAAAGCTCACCTGGACTAGGGAGGTGGTTCAAAGGGCAAGAGCACGGACTTGGTGTGCTGGAGCCCCAGATCTGAGCCCCGCACACCAGGAGTGACCCCCTTGGCCTACCCACTGGCTTGCGCTAAGTCAAAACCAACCAAACAAAAGAAAGCTTTAGAGTGGTGTGTACTGTGTGTGACCTTGTATGCATGCGAAGACACACGCATCCACTTCTACAAAGGCACCAGGAAACATTTGTCTGCTGGAGAATAGCGGGAGGATACGTGTGGCCAGAGGGGGGAAAAGACAGAGATTCCGATGCACATTTTGGAATTTTCTGTCACGCATCACACATTAGAAATAAAAAGTGTTTTTTTTTTACAAGCCTCTGGTTTCTGATTGCGCAGTCCAAAGCAATGTAAATAAGATGAAAAATAATACAGCTAATCCATGGGTCTGGTGACCATCCCTCGGATGGCACCGGAATAACAGAGCTCTGGGCGAGGCAGCAGCATGGTTACGGGCTGTTTCCATCGGCCTGTGAGCTGTCAGGAGTCCGTCACCAGTGGGGCCTCCGCTGGCAGTTGCTGGATTTTGTGTTGGCTTTGGAGAATCTGCTTCCCACACCTGGGCCCGAGCCACAACCTCCTGCCATTGGATCACACAATCCCAACATCATGAAGGAGCCTCTGGCCCGGTGTGTCACAGCAAGTAGGGTGCTGTCCTCGCATGTAGTTCACCCAGGTTTGATCCCTGGCACCACATGGGATTCCCCCAACGATCACCCTACAACCAGGAGTGACCCCCGAGCACAGAACCAGGAGTAAATTCTGAGCACAGTGGGTGTGGCCTAAAAACAAAACACACAAAAAAGTGGGTGCTGTGGGAACTCTGAAGAAAGACCTCTCTTTTTTTGGGGGGGAGGGGCAGGAGGCACACTGGAGGTGCTCGGGGCTTACTCCTGGCTCTGTGCTCAAGAGGACCATGTGGTGCTGGGAATCAACCCATGCAAGTGTCCGACCCACTGCTGAATCTCTTCAGCTATCTTTCTTCCTCTCCTTTTTTGGTTGGGGCCACACCTGGTTGGACTCAGGGCTTACTCCTGGCAGCCACTGGTTGACTGTATGTGGTACCAGGGAATGAACTAGGGTCATCAAGAGTCTTAGGACCAGTGTTATCCCTCTGACCCCGGAGGTGACTGTGAGCTGGGCCGAAGGACAGGCAGGGAATTCACCAGTAGAAAAACGCGTTCCAGGGACAGAGACGGCTCAGAGGCCTGGAGCCTGCCTGGCATGCCCAGGGCCATGGTTCCATCCCTGGCACCACATGGCCCCCCTGGTGCTGACAGGTATGGCTCTGGCTGCTGCCAGCTTTGCTGGGGAGGCCCCAAACAAGCAGAAAAAAAAAAAGTAGAGAGAGCAGCACCAGATATGGCCAGATGAAATGGAGGGACAGCAAACACAGGAGCCAGGGGAGCCGGGAGCCTGGTTCCTTGATGGGCAGAGGACACTGAGACTAGCTTTGGCTCACACCTCCTGCCCGCCTGCACCCCACCTGCAGCTCAGGCCTGATAGAATCAGCGAGCTTCTGCCCTTCACCTTTGAGCTGGAGGACAGGGTGGGTGGTGATGCCTCTGGGCCTGATTTCCTCACACAGCAGTGGTGACAAGAGTCCTCTCCACAGGGTTGCGGTGGGGTGCTGGATCCATCCCTGCCCTGGAGCCTGGTGGGCTTCGTTGGCTGAACCAGGGATGGATGGGAAGCTCCCCTCAACCAAGGAACCATCTGCCCCCACTAATTCCTTGACTGCAAGTATGCTCGGCGAGGTTTGTTCATTCAACCTCTGTTCATTTCTGGGCCAAACTGGTGGGACCCTTTATGCCTTTCAAGAGGGACATAAAACCCACAGCCTAGGGGATGGAGAGATAGCACAGCGGGTAGGGCATTTGCTTTGCACGTGGCTGACCCAGGCTCGAGTTCCAGTATCCCACATGGTCCCCTGAGCACTGCCAGGAGTAACTCCTGAGTGCAGAGCCAGGAGAGTAACCCCTGTGCATCACCAGGTATGACCCAAAAAGAAAAAAAAAAAAACAATCCTGCAGCTTGTGGCTTCTAGCGGAAACCTGTTCTCAGACACGGGTGAATGGGAGTCAGGTCCTGGCAGTCTGTGACCATCCCTGGGATAGGGCTACCTTCTAGAACACCCCATGCTCGGCTAACCCTTTGTCCTCACTGGACTCTGCACAGTTCTGCTGTTACTTTAAGCATTTGGGGATACCCAGCTGCTGCTCACGGCACCCCATCCCAGGATGGGGGAAACTCCTTAAAAAGGGGTCCTGGGGGGGGGGCTGGGGAGATGGCTCAAAAGGCTGGAGTAGACATGCTGAGGCTGCCGAGGCCCTAGATTTCATTCCCAAGCATTGCAGGGTCCCCTGAACGCCACTAGAGTGGCCCGATGGGACCCCCGAGAAGGGGACCTGGATTGTGTTGGTTTCTACAGCCAGGGCAGGGCACAGGGCACTGGTGAAGACGTCCATGCAGCAGCACTGAGAAGGGGGGACGAGAACCTGTGCATGCCCCCTGACCCCCCAAACCCACAGGGCTGCCTAAACCCAGGGGTGCAGCAGCACTCAGCCCCGACTCTTGCAGGGACGCACAAGACTCTCCGTTCTGCAAACTCCCTGTCTCGGGGCCCCATGCGGAAGGACTCGAGCCCCCGCTACTCGCCGTCCCTGTCCCGGAGTTCTGGTGGTCTGGAGCTCTCCCTTCTGCCAAGACAGCATGGCTGAGGGCTCAGGGATGGGCCCCGGGACCTCTCCTCCCTCCTCCCACAACCAGCTGCCACACGGCATTCTTAGCGCTGAGGTGCAAGGCTCCTCCCCAGGACAGTGAGCT